ATTCTACTTCACATACTAATTTTGAACAATTTGCATCCAATATTTACTGAAATATCGTAGTTTTTGCATCTTTACAAAATACCTTTAAATCGGAAATGGGCGTGGTTACAGTCCGATTCGCCCATTTTTAATACCAACTTACCTTTGAATAAAGGGCAACCTACATACCAAATTTCGTTGAGATATCTCGAGTTATCGTGTACACGGGCAGACGTGTTTATATTTTTTCTTGATTTTTTTGGACTTGGCACATTTGCGTACCAATGCATAACAACAAGTAAAAACGACATTACGGTAACTTTCTATTTTGGTAATGATGTATTTTGAGTTATGCTATCTTACTGCATCAAAATCTCAATTTTCATAAAAAGTGGACTTAGCACGTTTGCGAACTAAGCCAACGAAATATTTAAGGCTAGGACAGAGGTATAAAAAGCGTAAGTATTTATTGCAAGCATTTTAGTTTTAAACGATAGTCAGCTACCTATAAAATTAAGAATGCTTTCCATTTTATCTTTCGTTTAAATCGTACAATGTTTTTAAATGGTCACAGTCGATTAACAGTCTAAATATCTTAGTTTCGTTTTAACAACAATTTCGTCACTGGAGTCGCTAGAAGATATCATTTTAAAGATCGCTTCAATTAAAAAAGTAGTTGTGTATTAAACTAGCTTAAAATATTTAAATCATTTTGTATTTGTACTTACTTGTAAAATTCTTTCAAGGGCGGCAAAAGACTCTTAATATTTGTGACGCTTGCTTCAAGTATCAATAGTCATATGAAAAACTTGAGAAACAGAATTTTATGTACAAGTACTAAAAATAGTTGTAATTTAAAAGTTATACTTGCAGCTTGTACCTAACAAGTGTAGTTTTGAGAAACATATACTTGTGGAAACGTTAATGATTACAAGTAATCGTTGCCTTAATATAGAAAGGCCCTATCTGACATCGTCGCTGATTTACAAAAAGTCGTAACTAACTAAAAATCGAAAATTTACGTTTTAATTGATTATGATGCATTTGATCGAATTATGTGGCCTCACATCATTTTATGCAATAAAAGATTTTAGTTAGTTACGGCTTTGTGCATTTCAGCGACGATGTTAGATAGGGCCTTTCTATATTAAGGCAACGTAATTTACCTGTATTACAAGACTTGTAGCTTTGAGAAACAGGCCCATGTTCTTCACGTGGCTTCAGAAGAGCCACACTCAGAGAGGTTACACCTTTAATCAGCTGATCAATTTATAAGCATCACACAGTGATAGTTGAATTAAATATTAATCAAACACATAATTTTGACGTTATGCTTTCCACGGCGAAAAATTCCGCTGTTTACTTGTATACGAGCCCTGCATTTCTTGCCACTTTTAGTGCTGCCATATTTTCACCTAAATAGATAGTTTATTGAAACTGCAGGAAAATTAAATAAGAAACTTAGCCTTAATTAGATAAATGTGTTAAGATTATAACAAGTTTAAAACTAAACAGCACAGCAACTCTTTTCTCTTTTCTCTTGAGCACAAAAAAACCCACATTCCCACGACGGCCGGTTCTACGTACCGGAATGACTCGGTTTTATCCGACCAAGGGCTCTCGTTTCGACTATTTAACGTCATTTACGTCGGCGAAATCCCTCAAAGTTGTACGTCCATAGGGCTATATCTGCTTCACATACTTCTGCTCAGGGCTGGCATCAGGTCAAACCCTGGGCCAGAAACCTACACCTGCTGCGTGTGCCAAAGACGACTGACGGGTGGAGTCACCTCCGAGTTTTCCCAGGCCTTACGGCTCACATGCAATTGACCACCTCATACAAGGCCCCCCGCTACTCATATCGAGCACACCAGAGCCTGAGCAACTCAACACAAACACTACCGCACCACAACGCAGCACAATAGACAACACCACAGACACAACCATACCACCGACGCCAACAACTCCTGGTTCCGCCAAAAATCTGCTCGGTGCGTCAGACCAGGATATTCCGTACCGTGACATGTGTCAAGTTCAACATTTGCCTGGTGTCACTTTAGGGCATGCTCAGGACTGCGCTCCACGTGTGATTGGACGAGGACTATGAGGGCAAATGCTGTGCTGCTCAGTCGCAAGTGCCAACTGCGACGCCGCCCACCACCACCACAGGGCAGCAGCTTTTACAGCAGCACACACAGCAAGTTATGGGCAGGCAACACACCTCACAACCACCCCACATTCCAATAAGTCCGCCTAGGCACACGAAGATATTACAATTCAAATGAAACGGGCCACTGAACAAGATCGAGGAGATAACAGTCCTTATGGGTCGGCATGGAATATTAATAGCTGCGGTCCAAGATACGAAGTTGCATGGCAATTCAACACAGTTCCATTGCGCCGGATTCAACGTGCACCACCGAGATCGCGACCGAGATATTGGTGGTGGCCTAGCGTTCCAGGATTACCATCCTAGAATAGCAGGGTATTGCTATCGGGTCAGGCGATGTCGAGCTCGAAATATTTAACGTATGTATACCCCCTTCACCAGCTACCCTGTAGGATATCAACCTGAAATAGGTGCTCCCTATAGGTGGGATATCACCCTGAAGAGGTGCAGTAGCTCGCGTGACATAACAATCGCAAGCGCTGGTCTGATAAACAGCATAATGTGGTAACCTTTCTGACTTTGGCATCAGACCATCCGCCCATAATCATCTCGATTGAAAAATATGCCGACTTTGCTTCCGCGGATTACCGAACCTATGTCAACTTCTCTAAAGCTGATTGGAACGACTTTGCGGATGTTACTGAAAGCACCTTCAATGCCCTATCCCCACCAACCGACTTTCACGTAGGTGAGCGTAAATTCCGCAGGGTTATCACTGCTACTGCAGCACGCTTCATCCCAGCCGGAATCATTTAGGACCCCAGTATGAAATTTCTGAATTAGCCGATGAGCATGACAACCTTCATCAGGCTGATCCCGGGAATGCCCGTATCAGGGATCTCAACGCCGAGATTCTGCAACTAGTGAACGTACATAAGCGAAAGAAGAAGGAAGAGCATCTGAAGACCTGTAACTTCGCCCCTGGTGTGAGCAAACTATGGTCAGCCGTGAGGTGACTGTCCAATCCGACAAAGCATGACGACCACGCCTAGTCGGATCCGGAGCCATGCACGACCTATTTAAACCGATAGCTCACCCTGCATCCTCCGCCGGACAAAGCCAAGCATCGAGTGACTAGAAGGCTGCACAAACTGCTAACACCCAGTACGCCTCTTGTTTTCACCAGCGGCGTAGCCATCGGGAAGGCGAACGCCTCCAAAGCCATTGGGCCCCGACGGAATTTGCATGCTAATGCTAAAAAATTTGGGTTCTGCGTGAGTAGATTATTTAACCAAGGTCCTCAACTTGTCTATGGCCACTCTCATCATTCCAGACACCTGAAAAAATGGGGAGAATGGTCCCAATGCTTAAACCGAGGAAACCGTCTAACAAAGGAGAGTCCCATCGTCCGATTACTCTCCTTTCCCCGGCAGCGAATACACTAGAGGCCCTTCTACTCCCAGACTACACAAACCACCGGACCCCAGTGAGGCATCAACATGGGTTCCAGATAACTCGTAGCTTTGACCGAAACCGCCTCTTGGGGAGAACGATTCTAGTAGAGTTGTACCTTTCCAAGGCGTCTGACACCGTCAGTCAATCCACGCTACTAGAAGACATAGAGGCCTCCCCTCTCCCACAGGGACTCAAACGGTGGTCAGGGAACTATCTAAGTGGTCGACACTCGTCAGTAATTTTTGCAGACAAATCGAGCAAACCCAGGAAAATAAAGAGGGGGTCCCACAGGGTGATGTTCTTTCCCCACTACTGTTTGACTTACACATTTTTAAGCTCCCTCAACCACCAGAGGATGTCTCGATTTGCTCTTATGCTGAAGATTTCTCGATAATGGCGTCTGGAAATGGAATTGATCACTTGTGCTTCTTCACTGCGCGGAGCCTTACCCTCTCCCCTACAAAATCCTCAGAAACAGTATTCACGACTTGGACGAAGGGAGTCAGACTGCAACCTGGTATTCACAACGAGACGAACCAATTCCGACGGTGAATACTCGGAGTAACCTTCGACAGCCTGCTCTCCTTCTCGGCCCATACAACCGCAATTGTCAATAAAGTACAAAGCCGCAACAAGGACCTCAAGTCGCTAGCCAGCGGCACCTGGGGCTAAAACAAAGAAACGTTGTTCTGAACTATGCAGCGCATGTGTGGTCGCCGGGGACTAGTAGAACGCAGTGAATGAAATTACGGACCTACCAAAACACAGCACTCAGGACAGCGACAGGATGCCTTCTGATGTTATAAAACAACCTCTGGACCCGACAGCATGCCGATAGGATTTAAACGGCATCCACAGTTATATAGACTCTCAACTTGTAAATGCCGTTCAAGGTACACAACCACCAGACGTGGACGAGACAGAGCTGCGTCTGCCTCGGGAGACTTGGACCACAATAGCCTGGCTACTGCAGCAGGTTAAATTCGTACCAGAGCAGAGTAAATGCAGATATGCCAAACGAATTCGAAACATCGCGCACCTCGTAACCCTGCCATATTGTTCGCACTGTCAGCGCCATATTGAATACCCTGTCAACCCGAAGATATCTCACTTATATTCTTCCATAATGATTGCTATTAAGCCAAAACTAAACCCCGGTAAAATATTTATATTTCTTGTAAGCCTTTAAGTGGCCTTAAGTATAAAGATGTATACAAACATTTGGGGCATACTCCCCAAAAATTTTTAATAGTAACTTTAAAAGCTAAAAAACGGCAGCACTGATTAGCTAGCGAAGAAATCCAAGAGTTTTAGTTTTAGTGAACATCTATCATCAAGATGATAAGTTTGGCTTTTTTGATTCAGATTTAAAATTTCGGCTAGTTCGTATCTATTATGTCATAATAAAGTTCTTGAACATTTTAATTTTTTCGTTAAGAAATAGACATGTGTATACATATATATGTATACAAACATATGTAAGTATATTTAAAAGTAAACATTTCTCTTGATTAACAATTAAATAATAAATAGATCTCTTAATTTTTCATAAAAGTGCAACCAAATTATATGTGTGTGCTTTATAATCCTCCTCCGGAGCGATCGACACTGATTTTTTGTTTGAGTTGAGCAGCTTCGTGTTTTTGTTCTTCTAATTCCGCCATTCTAGCAAAACGCGAATATGCGACGTCTCCAGTTTTTTATGGCCGACATCATCTGCAAATAAAAATTTTATTATATGCAAAATGTAAAAATATTAAATAATAAGTATAAATTATTAAATAACTAAATACTTTGCTGAATTCGCGTAAGTTTTTAAAATTACTCCGAAAATATGTATGTTTGCATCAATTAATTTGAAATTAGCTTAATGTAAATACAAACAAAATTTTGGATTGTTTCTATATTAGATAAGGTAACGATGTGTACATATCGTTATGATTATAGGCCAGTATGCAGCTCTGAAGAAAACAGTCAAGAAAAAAATTGCCATTATTTCGTGTGTATGTCCAAGGCATTTTGACATCTGAACTTCACAGCCTGTTGCCTCACTCTTTCACAAAAAAAAAATGTATAAAACCGTTTTCTTCAGAGCTGCATACTGGCCTTATTCTTGAATTATTTGCTTAATTCTTGAATCATTCAAGTTCGTTTAACTGGATTGTTTAATAAACGCACAAATTACAGTACAAATAACTTTATTACACAACAAACCCTTTACAATACCTGTTAAGACAATTCTGTAATTCCAATACTCGTTACTACAATCGATCTCTGTAGTCGCAACTTTCTTTTGGAACCGAACTTTTTTACGCTGTAACAACGTATTTATATATCTGCGTTCGCTCTCATCGCAATTCTGTACTATTTTAATTGAAAGTTATCGAACATTCCATTTGACGTTTCTCGACATTCTATCATTCTCTTGTTCTTGGCCTGTTCTTAGCTTTGGCTTGCAATTCTTGTTTTGCAGTTTGGCCTATTTAAGTAGATGTTGTTGATTAAGTTCAAATATTCATTTTCAGATCATACATTTAATCTGCACTTAAATGGCCAATATTGGCTAATTATGCTCCGCACGGATACATTTGAGTCGCCCAAAAAGACATGTGTTAGCAGTACAATTACTTACTCTATCTCTCCATTCACTTTTTGAGTGCGGGCAAACACAAACCGGTGGAGTATGCGTAAGTAAGAAACCGATCAATAGCAAGACTAGTATTTGCTTTGCAAGCGACAATTACATCGACTGTACAATATCCGCAATAGCGTACTGTGCTTGCAAGTACTTAAATATTTTCATAGAGCTTTTGATTGTTGGTATTTGGGTTCTACTAATTATGAGCATTAATTATATGAGCACATAAATGTGTATTTACATGCACATGTATTAGAGTGGCCTTAATGCACCGATTTCCGAAAACCAATGGTTCTCGCACGGAAATATATGAGGTTGGGCTTAGAAATAAATATGTAACTATTTTCAAAGCCTTCAGATGACTCTTAGGGGTTCCTGGTTGGACCGAAAGTGACGAAATTGAGGCCAGTTTTTATGAATTTTCATATTTTACAATTTCAAGATGGCGAAATTTTATTGTGTGCCTTTTTATCGAAAGTTTCATGGAATAACTTTTCCAAAGTGTCAATTAAGTCTCAAGTCGGTTAAAATAACACAGCGCCATAAAATTGCAAAGGCCTTAGAAGTACGGAAAACACACATAACTAATTTCACGCAGCGGCAATCCTATAATCCGATGTGAAGCTGGAAACGACGGGCTACGGACCACAGCTGTCAAATTATTTTAACGCGTGCTCTTATGTAGACAATTATTTTGGCGACGAGACGGCAACACTGCGACTAGCCAAAAATGTAGCTGTGGCCAGATTGGACCTATTTTTTATTTTTCTAGCGACAGATAAGTTTCTTCCTCTTCTTTTATGTCAAACTCAAACCAATTCATGTGTCGCTGCCGCGTTCAAAAAAAATCATGTCGCCGTTGACAAGGCGTGTAGATTATGTAGCTAAAACCTTAATGTCGTGTCGTGTGGTGATGCCGTTTTCGATGTGTTCAGAGCTTTAGTGAAAAGTCAAAAGTGCAACAAAGAGCGTGAACTAGAGGTTTACGCCGAGACGCCTTGCGGCGGCGGCGTGGTCAACTTCAAAAAGAATCGGCACGGCGGCGACGGCGCTACTGCCCTTAAGGTAGATTCCAAAGAGCCATGCGGATACTAATCTTATCATGTCATCTCGTCACCATGTCAATTCGGATTATAATTCTATTTAATTCATTCATTGAACTAGTTTTAAATTTAAATTACGTTACTTCCTACTTGAATTAAAATGTTGAGTACCTGGCGCTGATGGATGGGCGAACAGAAGAAGGTCTGAGGTATATACATACATCCACACATGGCTCTGTATGTTCTCTACACCCTGCAGGAAATGCATCTAACTATAAGCTAACTTTAAGTTGATTAGGAAGGAGCTAAAAGTCACTTATTATCTGTATATTTTCTTTGACGAAAGCTAACTAACGGGTGATTTTTTAAGAGCTTGATAACTTTTTTTTCTTCTTTATTTGAAACGTTAGATTGGTCCATGACATTTACTTTTTGAAGATAATTTCATTTAAATGTTGACCGCGGCTGCGTCTTAGGTGGTCCATTCGGAAAGTCCAATTTTGGGCAACTTTTTCGAGCATTTCGGCCGGAATAGCCCGAATTTCTTCGGAAATGTTGTCTTCCAAAGCTGGAATAGTTGCTGGCTTATTTCTGTAGACTTTAGACTTGACGTAGCCCCACAAAAAAATAGTCTAAAGGCGTCAAATCGCATGATCTTGGTGGCCAACTTACCGGTCCATTTCTTGAGATGAATTGTTCTCCGAAGTTTTCCCTCAAAATGGCCATAGAATCGCGAGCTGTGTGGCATGTAGCGCCATCTTGTTGAAACCACATGTCAACCAAGTTCAGTTCTTCCATTTTTGGCAACAAAAAGTTTGTTAGCATCGAACGATAGCGATCGCCATTCACCGTAACGTTGCGTCCAACAGCATCTTTGAAAAAATACGGTCCAATGATTCCACCAGCGTACAAACCACACCAAACAGTGCATTTTTCGGGATGCATGGGCAGTTCTTGAACGGCTTCTGGTTGCTCTTCACTCCAAATGCGGCAATTTTGCTTATTTACGAAGCCATTCAACCAGAAATGAGCCTCATCGCTGAACAAAATTTGTCGATAAAAAAGCGGATTTTCTGCCAACTTTTCTAGGGCCCATTCACTGAAAAATTCGAAGCGTTGCTCGTTAGTAAGTCTATTCATGATGAAATTTCAAAGCATACTGAGCATCTTTCTCTTTGACACCATGTCTGAAATCCCACGTGATCTGTCAAATACTAATGCATGAAAATCCTAACCTCAAAAAAATCACCCGTTATATTTCTATGGCGATGGCCGCGAAATAGTCAAGGCTGGTTTACCTCTGCAATGTAACTAACTTGTAATTAACTACTTTTCGACATAAAATATCAATAGGAAAAACAAAATTTTTTGTTTTGTTTTTATTTACATTTTATATTTGTTTTCATATTCTGCTGTAGGTGGTCCCATATTCGAACTTCGTCAGACATAACTTCAAAATGATAATATGAATTTCGATCTTCCTTTGATTTGTCCTCAACGCGTTTGTCCAAGCGCGTTTAAAGAAAACAATCTCCTTCATTACTCCTGCATTACTTGTCAAGTAGTTTCAAGCTAGTTTTTTGTAGCTAACTACAAGTTATTTATTTTATAATAATCCCGCAAAAAAAGCTAACTACAACTGGGTTATTTTTTATCAATTTATAATTTTTTTCTGCAGGACAGATCCGTATGTACTATTTAAATATAAAGAAATAAAAAATTTTAAAAGTCAAGTTATTGGGATAATTTATGTCGCTATCAATAAATTTTTGCAATAATCTTATCAACCGTTATGTTAAATTACCGAGTTCTTACGATTTTTTGCGGATTACATATTGAAAACAAGGTTGGTCTACTTTTTTCCAAAAGTTTAACCCATCAACTCGAACCAGAACGGGTCTTTTTGACTCACTGTTTAAAAAAATGGCTTATAGATGGTTAAAATTTCCACTAATATATTAAGCGTCAAATTTTTCTAAGGAGAACCGAATGTAATGAAAAATAATACTAATTTTTACCAAAAAGGGGGAACTTTAACCCTTTGTAGAAAACGTTGCGATGCGAGGGAGCAAAACCTTCACGGGGTTTGACCACCACTAAGGAATGCTAACGTAATTTTCACACAGTATACATATGTGGGACCCCAGAATAAAATAACTTACAAAAAAAGTGTTGGCTCTTTATTGAAAGTCTGTTTAAGATTAAAAAAAAAATACTCTGGAAAATCAACTTGTCTTTGTTTTATCTCTAATAATTGAGGAGTTAGATGGAATGAGTTAGATGAACATGAACTGCTTCTCTTAAAACTGCTTTCTGAGATATTGGCGTTAAAGTTTTTGATGTGTTATAACTTTCTTGTTGTTGCAGTATTGGAAAGAGTTGTCTACTGCGGAAAAAAAATCGTTAGATTACCAATATTCGGCCCTCCTTTAACTGTAATAAACGCTTTCGATCGAAAAATATGTTACCTATGTTTTTCCTGAGTTGCGCTCTTTTTGGAAAAATAAAGGAGATCATATTCTTGTCCAGTGGCCCAAATTATGCAAAAAAACTGCTTTAAAAAAGTAATGTTCATTTCGTAAAATTCTGTTTTTAAACGAGTAGTATTTAGTTCCTTCAAATGATGTATTTCAATGTACATACATCATGCAAATTTTGTACGAAATTCCTTAGGCGCCGAACGCCGCCGCCGCCGATATTTTCGTAACTCGGCGGCGGCGCGTGAGGAATGACAAAAATCGGCGGCGTGGCTCGGCGGCGTTTACCTCTAGCGTGAACGGCATTTTTTTTACAAAAATGAAAGTGAACTTATACTACGTTCAAATTGACGAGTTAAACATGTTAAATGGGCTTGAACCAGTTAAATGAACAAAACGTGTTTATAAACAAGTTAAATCGCATACAATTGTTGTTGGAAAATTGAACCAGTTAAATCATTTCAGCTTTCTGCTTCCGCTAATCAGAAAGAGCCAAAAGCTTTCCTTTGACACGCCAACGTTCAAAAAATATAAAAAAATAATAAAAATATAATAAAA